AGGGTGAGCGGTTTCCCTGGCCAGTTTCCCTGGCTGTGGCTGAGGATGGGTCGGTGGCAGCCGTGACAATCCCTGCTCCAGAGCAGGCGGCGAGGGAAGGCCGAGGCTCGGCTCTGCCAGCCGGCCCCATTAATGAGGCTGCTGCTGTGGAGCGGGGCCGTGCCCGCCTGCCGAGCTTCAGGGCTCATTACGGGCAGGGAAACACCAGGACAGCCCTGGCCAGGCTGGCACTGAGGGTGCCTGGGGAATGCAGGGTGCTGGCCCGCTGGCCATCCTGCCCGAGCACAGGCACGGCTGAGCCGGGGCTGCTGGAAATCGCCAAGGGAGCGTTGGAGGGCAGAGGTGGTGGTGGTGGACACCAACAACACACAAGTTCACAGTGTTAGTGGAACATGGACTACGTCCTTGTGGATGTGTGTCACTCGCCTCTTTACCCAGCCAGGGGTCTCCTTCCAGCTCCAAGGGAGGTGGGTCTCCAGAGACACATGGGAAAGCTGCTTTGGTGCTGTTAATTCACTTCTCCCGTGAAAGGTGTCCTTACCCCTACCCTAAAGGTTCATCCGTGCAGCCAAGAGGCTTTTGGCTGAATCCACATTTGTGGTACAGAAAAACAACAGCAATGAAGACTTGAAGGTATGAGTTGTGCACGCAGAAGTGAGCAGGACATGCCCTTGGGAGTTTCCAGCTCACATCCAAACGAATTTGGTGGAATCTTTGCTGCTGAGTCCACTCCCAGACTCACTGGGGTGTCCTGGTCCCTCTGCCTTGGGGCATTACAGCCTCTGAGCACAGTTCAGTGCTGTGCAGGATTGGGAGCCTGAAGCTTGGATTGAACCTGTTGAGCAGGTTCAGTGTTGTGCTGGATTCTGCCCCCAAGGCTTTGCAGTGGGATGTGGGTTTCACCTGGAGGAAGGCCAGCTACACACTCCCCTCAGCTGCAGAAGAAGCTGAATTTAGCATTAGTGTGTGGATGGGGGGCTTGGCCCTTTTCCCTCCAGCCCTCCCATGACAGAGCTGGAGATGTTGCCCACCACCATCTCCACCTGTCCAAGAGCTTTCAGAGAGAGGACATGGAAGCAGGCAAGCACAACCCCTTTTTTATTTGTTAGATTTGCCTTTTTCTGTCTTCCTGAGCTGTGGCATGGACACCTGTGAGATCTTCCTCACCCTGGGTTGGGTAAACAGCCAGGCAGCAGCCAGCAGCATTTCCCCAGCCTGAAAAGGGGATGATGGGCTACAGGTGGCTGGGAGGAGCAGGGGGAACGTGCAGGCGAAGCAGTGAGACAGCCCTTGGCATAATAAATAGCATCACACACCACCTGCCTACCCATTATCAGCTGCTTTGTAGGCACCCGAGCAGAGAGGAGTTGGAAGGAGAGGTTTGAAAAGGGGACACAGAGGCTCCAGGCTGCCTTAGAGTTTCTCCCACGTAGAGGGATGAGGTGAGAGAAAACATGAAAGCATTGGTAGGTTGAGTCACCAACCCTGGAGGGAGATAAGAGATGTGCACATGTGGCACTTGGGGACATGTTTTACTGGTGGGCTTGGCACTGCTGGGTTAAGAGATGGACTTGGTGGTCTTAAAGGCCTCTTCCAACCTAAATGATTCTGTGGAAATCTAGAAAAAAAGCAGTCTCTGCTGGCTGGGGGTTCAGCTGGAGCCTCCCAGCAGATCTGAGGGCTCACAAGCATTTTCACCTCACAGTTTGCAAACAGAGTAAGTGAAATATCAAGAGTTTAGGTGCTTGGGGGAACCACACAGCATCCAGGTATTCTCTTTCCAGCTGGGGATGCAAGGAGGTGGCTGGGTCTGGAGGTTTCCTCCATGCAGGATTTGCTCTGCATGCTCTGGGGAGATGGAGGAGACACCACTCCTCCCTAACAGAAAACAGGTTTCCAGTAACTGCAGTGGGTTTGCACCTTAATTATTTCCTTTGGCTCTGCTACTGGGAATGGTTGTGTCCTTAAAGTTGTTATAAGGGCAAAAGAGAGAGGAAAAGCAATCCTGACATCCTGTCCACTGGGTCCAGATGTAGCTGGCAGAGTACAAATTAGCGGGTGGAGAATGGAATCACTTAAAAAGAAATTTAATGAGATCGGTATGCAGGCATCTGGTTCCTATCAATCATCATTTTGTGTGATATGAAATGGTAAATATCATCTTTTAATGACTCTGATGGAGAAAGAAAGCCCAAATCACACGCACACACATAATGATCAAAAAAACTTACAGAACCCAAGAGGTTTCAACTCTCAAATTTTCTGGAGATGGAAAAACCCCAACCAACACCTCTTGTAACTCACTGTTGTTGGAATTATTTTATTTTTTCTCCTTTCCTCTGGTTATATTTAACCTTTGTGTTAAATTAATCTTCTCTGTTTATTAACAACTACCACTGAGTGAATCTCCTTCCTCTTTCTTTGTGGTTTGACAGCTCAAATATTTGCTCCAGGCAGAAGTTCTTGCTGCAGGCGCCTGCTGCTCTCCAAAGAGAGGTGGCTGCAGGTCTCTGGCCATCCATGGGCTTGCTTGAAGCAAAGATGTTTTAGGGCTCCTCTGTTTCAGTTCCCCACCAAAGAAATCCAGCAGATACAGGATTGAACATGAGCTGAGGGTTTGCTGGTTTTACATCCCCAGCACCGCAGATCCCCTGGGAAAGCTGCTGGGCTCAGCTCCTGTAGGGCCATCACCTGAGGCTCTGCAAAGCAGGGAAAGATGGAAACCCAGTATTTGGATCCTTCATTTGTCTGGTCTCATGCAGGTTGGGGTATTTTCAGGGTTTAACCAGTCTTTGCTCCTGGCATATCTGGCCAAGAGCAGGGAGAGGTGAAGGTGATGGTCCCAGGGTCTCCTCTTGGCCCTTCTCTTGTTGGGGACTCAGTGTAAATCCTGATGATGCAGAGATCAGTCCCCCCTTGCTATTCCCTTCCTGGTTCAGACCAGGAATTTTTCTCAACTCATTTCCCGTGCCTTCAGAACATCCTGCTCTTCAGCTGAGATAAAATACAGCTTTTCAGGGAGCTTCCTGTGGTTTGGGGTTCAGAGGCTGAGGCATGCAGGGACCAGCTGGCAGCCTCCATCCCCTGTCTGGGGCAGCAGGTCCCACTTCCAGTGACCCCCCTTGCTCCCAGTGCCTGGGGGGAGCGTGTTAAGGGGAAAGATCCACTAGCAGGGATGGTAAAACCCTGAGCTCTGACCCCAGCAGGATGATCCCTGTTGGAGCTGGAGGGCTTTGCTGGGTGGCTGGAGCTGCAACAGCTTGAATAGAGGTGGAGAGTGATGGATGAGGGCAGAGGGATGATGAGTCCAGCTGGAAAAAATGGTTCCATTAAATCAGAGTGGAACACTTGCCCTTCTGTGGGGAAATGCCCAGGGCATTAAGCCTTAAATCCTGGGAATGATGTTATCCATGCAGCCGTGGCCAGCTCCATCCCCCAGCACCTCTCTGACAGCTCTGGGCTGAAGGACCGAGCATCTCTGTGGCAGCAGGAGCTGGAGACAGCCAGGCCTGGGAGTGATTTCTCCCAACAGGGACCAGATGTGTCAGGAGGAGCTGTGCTGGGGGTAGGAGGCTGCACAACAACAAGAGGAGTTTTGTCATGGGTCCCCTCTGGGTTTTAAAAGCAACACCTTGTCTCCCCCTTCCACCTTCCTTCCTCCCCCACCCTTTCTGCTGCACACTCTTCACACCTCCAAAACCTATTTTGGGCCATCTGATGAATCCCAGATGCCTTGGGGAAGCAACAGAAGCGATGGTGCACTCCAGGCGCTGCTTCACGCCGCTTCCTTGGCAATGCCCCCAAGCTTTCACAAGCCAAGGGAGCGGGGGAAGGAAGGGAGGGGGGAAAAAGGAGGATAACAAATTGGTAAAGGAGCCTGGTACTCAATATTGTGATTATTCATGGAGTGGTGAGTGGAGAAGATCCCACCTGGTTCTGGAGAGAAGCAGTGATGGTTGGAGAGAGAGGTGGGATGGGTTCAGGTTCCTGTGGTTTGGGATGGGGGTTAGGGAGGGGAGCAGGCAGCCTGCCTGGAGCCAGGAGTGATGGGGGACAGCCTGAGAGCACTCTGCTGCCTCCTGAGCATCCTTCAGCAGTCCATAGCCAGGGAGAGCCCCGTAGGAGGGAGGGAGCTGTGTGAAAGCGGGGAACAAACACTGACGTGGTTCTCTCCTGCATAAATTAGGTGGAAGGGGGTGGTTAATGTGACTCAAGTGGCAGCCCCAGCTGCAATCCTGGCATGGGTGGTGTTGGCACTGGTGGCTCCAGCCCTGCTCTCTGTTACCTTGAGCCCTTCAACTCCCTGCCCTCTCCAGCGCTCCACCTCCCTGGGGAGCTCAGCACATCAGCTGTGACCACAACTTCATTTCTTTCAGCTGCATTTCATTGGGGTTGATTTAATCCTGCAGAAAAGAGGGTCCCCAAACCACACACACACACAGAGGGGCTGGTGAGTTTTGGGAGTATCCTTGTGCTGGGAAAAATGTCACAAATGAGCAGTGACATCAGCTCAGGCCTTAGGTCCCGCTGGAGACTCAGGTGGGGCAGCTCAGGCAAGGGGAGACTGTCCTGGATGGCAATGCAGAAATAAAGCCCATGGGAGCAAAGAGAGGCTGGGTGGGATAAAGAGAGGTTTTCCTGCTCATCTCCAGCTCTCTGAGGCAGGATGTGATGTTTTGATATATGTGGGCACGTATCCAGCATCTGGCACGCCTGGGTGGCATCTCTGGGCATCAAGAGCTCAGTCTTGCTTCTGCTTTGGGAATGAATATCCAGCTGTGATGACCTTGTAGCAGATGGGGTTTGGGGAAAAGGCATCAACCTGCTGGTTTTCAGACAGCTGAATGCTGCAGCTCCTGGGGAATTGGATAGGAAAATCAGCCCTGGCTGTGTGAGATGCAGGGGGTGGCTTCCAGCATCTCCATCCCCTGTGCTTTGCTTTAACCCTTCAGCCTGCTCTCCCCCTCCTGATGGCATTTCCTGTCTGTTCCTTCTGGAAGGTTTTTTGTGAACTTCCCCTCGGCCAAGCAGTACTTCAGCCAGTTCAAGCACATGGAGGACCCTCTGGAGATGGAGAGGAGCTTGCAGCTGCGCAAGCACGCTCGGAGGGTGATGGGGGCCATCAACACCGTGGTGGAGAACCTCAACGACTCTGAGAAAGTCTCCTCTGTCCTGGCCCTGGTGGGCAAGGCCCACGCCCTCAAGCACAAAGTGGAGCCCATCTACTTTAAGGTAAAGGATAGGAGCAAAATAACCTTTGGGCTGCTTTAGGAAGAGGGCAGGGGAGCAGGAGCTGGTGCTGCCTGTCCTCGGCTGGAGAAGCTGGGCTGGACGTGGGGGCTGCTCTCCACAGAGCTGGAGTGTCCCACTGTGACAGTGTCCTGTGGAGACCACCATCCCCACAGCCAGCCAGTGCCAGAGCCCCCAGCACCTCCCCCTGCCCAGGAAAACACCCCTGGCTCCATGTTGTGCCCGTGTTGCCCTTCTTTTGGAAATTAAGCACGATAGCAGGGACTCAATTAGCTGGGTAATTAACTGGTTAGAGTAATAACACCAAGATTGCGGGTTTGATCCACATGTCGCCATCCACTTAAGAATTGGACTTGATGATCCTTATGGGTCCCTTCCAACTTGGAATATTCTGATTCTGCAAATAATTTGTGGTGCCCAGACTGGGGAGATGCTTCAGCCTGCCAGCAGCTCCCTCCCCATGCCTGGGTCTCTGCCCTGCTGCCTGGGCAGGCTGGTTACCTGTCCTGTCTGCTCCCAGGGGTGTCAACTGACCTCCAGGACATCTGTGTCCTACAGACACCAACAGGGTTCAAGTGTTCCTGTAGGAAAGAGCTGAATTTGCTGTGAGCAGCTCCCTGGAGCGTTGCTAACCCCTTGCTTGCTGTCTGCCTCCCCTCAGAAGCTGACTGGAGTCATGCTGGAGGTCATTGCTGAGGAATACCCCAACGACTTCACCCCCGAGGCACACGGAGCCTGGACCAAGATGAAGACCCTGATCTACACCCACGTGACAGCAGCCTACAAGGAGGTGGGCTGGGCTCAGTACCCCACTGCCACCCTGTGAGCGCCCAGGGGGCCACCAGAGGGGCAGGGAGGGCTTTGCTCACCCCAGGACTTCACTCTGGTCTCTTCTCAAGATCTTTGCTCGGTTTGGGGAGCCCTGTAGGGCCAGTTCTGTCAGCTGCCAAGTCACAATTTGATCTCCACGGGGTTTAAAAAACAAACTTAATAAGCCAAAAAAACCACAGAAGCATGAAGGGTGTGGGTGGGTCGGGGTGAAGCAGTTGAAGGGGATGCAGAGGGCGAGGGGAGAGCATTGGTTGTTGGCTCCATCTTCCTGTTCTGGCCTGTCCATCACCACCTCCCAAATCCTGCACCTCACTTGCACCATCTCAAAGTCCCTTGTACAAGTGCTGCCCCATTCACTGACCAACAACACAACCCTCATTTTCCATGTGAAGCCCCTGGGCAAGCCTGGCTTTTGGGGGCACACATGGAGACCTGCGACTGGCACCGAGAATGCTTTGCTTTGCACTTTCTGTATCACCTGGCAGGGCTGGCAGCCAGAGCCACTCCGGGTGCCCTGTGCTCCAGGTGGGCAGCAGCCCTTCCCTCTCCTGTCACCCACAGTCCCTGCCCTTGGCTGGCTGCTGCAAACCCTCCTGGGCTGGGGGAGACTGGGAGGGAGGGGGATGCCTTTGGGCTGCCTCCCCTCGTGGTTCGGAGCACGGCGTGTAGGTGGGGTCCCTGTGCCACACGTGGGGAGCTGGTGAGCCCACCCACTGCCCTTCAGCTCCCTGAGGATGGGCTTGGGTGGCACACCATGTGCCACTGCCCTGGCAGCTGGTGTGTGTAGATTTGTCCCCCTCTCAGTGAAAAGGAGGGGTCAGGCTGTGACCAGGAGGAGAAAAGATGGCATGGACCTATCAGGAGGGATTTCTGGGTATGAGGAAAGGTCCCTTCTCTGTTAAAATTGGTAAATACCTTGTACAGAGCATATTCCTGCCCTCGTGGTGAGACTGGGCTCCTCCAAACAAAGTGCCTGGTAGAAATCAGCTCACGCAGGAGCTGTGTCCCTCTGGGGACAGCCGTGCTCCTGCCTGTGCCTGACAAAGGCTTCTCCCACACCCCCCAAAACGTGGCTGCACGGCTTGGAGCACTCATCCCGCCTCCAACACCAACTCCTCCTGAGCCTCTGGGTGAGTCTACCTGATTTGTGCCTCAGTTTCCCCTGCAGTTCTGAAAACGGGAGGAGGAGCAGCCCCTCCTGCCCACATGTGGTTGGATTTAAAAGATTTCTGGGAACTGAATGGCAAAGGATTGAGGATGAAATGTCAGATGTGCTGGGAAGCTTTGGAATCCTTGCCACCCAATATTTCCCTAAAGGCCTCTGCTATTTTTAGAGCTCTAGCAAGCAGTAAGGGCAATGTTATCTGCTGAAGAGGGAGGAGGGTTCCCTTCTGAGATTTCCTCTGGCCTCGCTCCACCGCTGTCCTGGAGAGCTGGCAGCTTCCTGAGAGAGACCAGCTCCTCTCCTGGATGCCAGCTGGACAGGCAGCAAGCCCACAGTTCCAACTGGGATCCCTACAGCCACCTTGGGGACATCCCTCCACTGTGGGGACACTGCTGCAGGGGGCAGCGGTCACTCCTCCAGGCTGACCTCCCTCCCCCAGAGCAAACACACAGAAGCTCCTGCTTTGCTCACCTGTGCTTTTCATCATCCCCAGGGACAGGTTTATTCTGTCTCAAAATAGCCCCAGGACTCCAGTAATGTCACTACAGCCACTCTGGCCTCGCAGCTCTTTCCTTTCTGCATCCCACATTACCACTGATGGAGAGGAGCAGTGGAGCCTGGAGCAATGGCACGTCCTGGGCATCCAGGGACAGCTGGGTGGCACTGACAGCTCGGGCACCGCTGTCCTTGGCCTGGCAGCGTGCAGCATCCAGGGGGCTGTGGGGAGGGGACAGGCAGCGGGTGCTGAGCCATGCTGCTTTGCTCATGGGGTTGCTGTCAGAGTCAGCACCCCCAAAATTCAGCCCATCAGCCTGCACGGGTGAGGGTGCCACCAGCTCACACTGGAGTGCCGCAGCAGCTGCTCCTCCCCGAATGTCAGTGGAGGCATCCCTCAAACAGCCGCTGCTGCCTGGGGCAGGGATGGATGGGAAAAACCTGTTCAGCCATTGCCTTCCCTCCAGGGCAGGACTGGAGGGAGATGGCTTCGATCAAGACTGTTAGATGCTATTTGTGTGTGTGCACATCACGGGACTCTCACGAGCACAGCTTTGCTGACTCCTGCCAAGGCCGTGAGGCCAGCAGCACGTATTTCTGATGAGTTCATGCACTCCCTGTGCTCTGCAGATGCTGGGCCAGGGATGTTTCCGTACAGGGACGTTTCATCTTTCGACAAAATTTGCACATTAGCCTTTGAGGTTAATAATCTCCAGGTGGAAATTTTATTTTTGCAGCGCAAACCCTTCCCCTCCCTTCCCACAATCAAAACTGGGTGCCCAGTCCACAGAGAAGCCACTTTGGAGTGTCTGGAAATTCCCCATGTTCATACCCAACCTACCCGTGTGCCTTGGCTTTTGGGGAGCAGCATCAGGGAGGTTCCCCCCACCTCCCCATTAAACAGTGCTTTGGTTTCTCCTTTCTTTTTCTACATCCCTAGGAAAAGCTGGCCCGTGGCCTCTGCGCCCACACGTGTGCTGGGCTTGGGGTTTTTTCCAGGCACTTTTTCCTAAAGCAGATCCAGATGTGTGCAGCTGCTGTCCCTCGAGGAGCACCCCCCACCCCCTTCAGCCAAATTGCAGGCCACTCCAATAGATGCAAACAAAAACATGTTTATTTTTATCAGCCTTGTAGGAAGTAACATGAAGCAGGAGGGCAGCCAGGGCAAAGCTCGGGAGGGGAGGAGATGGAGATAAAATGAACGCCCCCTCTTTGCCGCCCGCAGTAGAGGAGGCATTGCTTAAATCCAGGAACATTCTCCTCTGGGGAGAGATGAAGATCTACTGAATAAGGAAAAAGTACCATTCCAGAGTGACAGGGCTGATAAATGCCATGTGGAAGAGCAGAAAGGCTGTGCGTGGCTCTCTGGCACACACACATCCATGCACAGCCATTCCCTGTCACTGCCAGCCCACTGCTCACCCCCGATCCCACCACAGCTGACTGGGGGCCCCTTATCCCTGCTTTGTTCAGGTCTCACTCTCTGGGGCTTGACCTTTCACTTCCTGGCACACTTAGGCTGAGCTAAGGGCACTCTGGGCTGAGCTTTGCTCTCCTTGGTGCTGGCAGGTAAGGACCAGCTTACAAAGTCTTTCCCCGAAGCTCACAGGTGAGAAGCTGAGGCTCAGGGCATCCTTGCCAGCGCATGTTGGGGTCAGCTGGTCTCTCTCTACCCTGTGGAGGACCCCTGTGCCTCCCAGCCCACCCCTGGCACTATCATCAGGGCTGGGAGCTGTGACGGGGTAGGAAAGCCTTTGTGCCCCTGCCAGAGGTAGAGAAATGCGGAGTGAGGGGGGGATTCGGTGTCCCTGGGGCAGGGTCCCCCTTGAGCACCTTGTCCTGGCTCTCTTTGGCAGCACCCACTCATATCAACCAACTCTCACCCCCTGCCCTGCAGCTCAGTGTTTGGTCAGAGGGAGGTGGGCACTGGAGGGAATGGGAGGCACTGGGTTGGGGCACAGATCCCACCCACCATGTCTCCCCCTCCCAAGGCAAACATTCACAGCAGGCTTAGCTCTGCAGGCACCCAGCTAGAGACACCCCCCAACACCACCAGAACCTTTATGGGCCTTGTGCCACCAACCTCATCTTCTCTTGGGGGGTGACAAATCCCCAAGGCAGCCAAGCCCTGAGCTCTCCCAGGGGAGTCCTCTCGCGTCTCTGCCGCTTTGTCCCACCAAAGAGGTCACAGCGTCCCCCCACTCTCTGAGGGGATGCTCAGCGACTTCAGGGGGGACCAGACATCACCTGGCTGGACTCTGGTGCCAGAGCTCAGCCTTCCCTGCCCCTTACCATAGGGAAGCTGCCCTGGTGTGGGGATGCTGGAGCGAGGGCTGCTGGGGGCCAGCACCATGGACGCCAGGCAGAGGGATAAAAGCGAAACCCACGCGCTGACCTTGGACCAGCTTAGGGAAAGGGAGGGACAAAACCACCTGCCTGGCTCCCACCTCTTTGCCAGGCTGCAGCACTAATTATTTTCCATAGCTGAAGTCGTCTCTAATTGTTAGTACGTCTGAAGCAGCCCCAGCGTGACCCACAGACGTGAGCGTGCGCGGTCTGATGTAACTCCGTGTCTTTCCCGTTCCTGCTGCGGATCCTGTTCATGTTCGTGTTCCTCGGCGCTTCCGTGCTGGTTTTATACCTGCGTTCCGTGTATATGGGTGTAACTTGTTCTTTCTTTTTGTAGGTTTTTAGTATGTTTGTAACCGGACAAAATGGTGTTATTAAACTGAAACTTGTATCTTCAGTGGATAAACCAATCAAACCCTCTCCAGCTCCGCTTGGTTTCTTTCTGATGGGGTGGCTGGAAGGTGAGGGGGTGTTGGGGGGCTGCCCCATGGCTCTGTGGGTCTGGGGGGTCCTGCTCATTCTCAGGGAGCTTTTTTGGCTGGAAAGCAGCAGCAAAGGGAGTGGATGTGCCCACCTAGGGTGGTAGAGGCATCTTAGCAGTGCACTCAGGTGGGGAGGGAAGGGTTTGTCCCTCCTCCAGGCTCTTCGCTTGGCTTCCAGGTACATTGTGCAAACCACTGGAGGGTCCCTGGATCAGGAGCTATTCCTCTGCCTTTGGCAGCCTAGACAACCCAAAATGCTTCCTGATGGCCACAACATGCAGCAACCACAACCACCGAGGGCTGTGAGCCCATTCCCAGCCTGCAAAAATAACAAACAGCTCCCTGAGCAGCAGCAGCAGCCCCATTTTCCATGTCCCAGTCCCTGGTGGCTCATCCTGTGCCTCTTGCTGAGGCTGGATCACGTTGCAGGGGGATGGGTCCCAGAAGGGTTGGGTCACTCTGTGGTTTCTCCCCATGGCTCTTTCCAGCTCCCTCATTTGTGAAACAGGCCCTCTCAAGTTCAGTTGACACCGGCCAACCTTTCCAAAGTTGTTTGCAGGGGATGGATGGACAAACAGACAGACTCATGCTATTGTCCCATAAGCTCCATTGCTGTGGGGTACAGGGCTTGGAAAACAAGTTCAAGCAACCCTGTTTATTGTTACTCTTTACCCCAAGTACAGAACATTCTTTCAGGGATGGGAAAACCCATCCCACCAGAGTGGTAGAAAATACCAGCACCTGGCCACAAGGTATTTTACGGGGAACAATCCCAGTTTCAGACTGAGGCTGGGGGGAAACAGTTCTGAGAGGGAGGAGGACAGAGATTGGTGTCTTGGAGGCTGCTCAGGGTCTTGGAGAGCCTTGTGCCAACTTCTCCTGTTGGGCTGAGGGCAACAATGCCATTCTACACCCCATTATGTTGGGAAAAAACAGCAATTAAGTGGTGTAGTTTTGCATGGGCAGGCACTTGAGCTACTCTGGAGTCCCCAAGCCACAATTACAAGGGTGGCCTTACAGAGGGAAGCTTTTTCTTTCCCTACAGCTTCACAAAACTGAGCCCAACCAGCCACGGAGAAGGGATCCAGAAGCCTCCTCATGTGAGGAGGGGAAAAACTGCCTGGTTCAATCTGTCTTCTCCTGCTGTGTCTTTTCTTGTGGGGTAAAAAACCACTTGGTGTTGTTAATGTGATTAATAAGCCATCCTCGGAGTCTCTGCCACATCCTGTACACGCTTCCAGGCGGAAGTGAACAGTCAGCAAAGCCTGCACACTGCTGTGCTCCAGATGGGAAACCACGAGCAAAAGGACTCAGCTCTGGGGTGGGGAGCCTGCAGTGGGGACCCGAACCTCGCAGACCTTTGCGTGCTGAGCTGAGAGTAGTCAGGACCAGCAGTGGCCAGAGGGTGCTAAAATGGGGCTGTTTTTTCCAACAGCTTGTTGAAAAGCAGCAGGGAATTTCAGCATTACCTTGCAGGGAGAAAATATGTACACAGCCCTTCACTTCGTACTAATATTTACCCCCAGATCCTGTCACGTCAGGGTGGCTGTGACGATCACGCCTTGACCCAGACCCTGTGGCCTCGCCAGTGCTCTGCAAGTGCTGGTGGAAAAGGAGACCGTGGGAGGCTGTGGCTCACACCACAGAGGAAAACTGGCCCAGGGGCTGGGACAATGGGCCCACACCCTCACTGCCCTGTGCTCGTGGAGTGCTAAACCCGCCTTGTTCCCAAGTGTCCCAGCCTGGGGATGCTGCTCTCCAGGAGCCACCCTTCACCCAAGGTGGAGATCCAGCTCTGAGAAAGCACCTTGGTGACCCCAGTGATGTTTTGTGGGCTGGGAGATGGAGAGGAGGAGGAATTTAATAGCTAAACCATGGCACAGGGTGTGTTTCTAGTCCACTTGCCATGCTCCAGCTCCAGGAAAGCCCCTCCATCCACTCCACTGGCCACAGGGCCCAGTGCTCCTTCCTGGGGGAGTGATGGCTCCACCATCCTGTGCTGCTGTGGGATCAGAGGTGACACATCTGCACCGTGTGTCTATATCCTGCTGGCACCTGGTGACAGCTGAGGGGAGGGCTGGGAGGTCACTGTGAGGGACAGGCAGAAATACAGCTGCAGGGGGGAGATTAAGAAAGAGAATATGCAATAACTGCATATTTTAAAACTGCAGTTTTTAATATAGTTATTGAAATTCCCCATGGAAACCCCATCCCATGGAAGCTGGCAGTGAGAAGTGCTCCCCTGGGTGTGGGGTAGCACAGGGTGAGAAACCTTGGGAGACAGAGCTTGCAGATTCCCACCAGCTTGAAGGACACGTCCCTTCTTCCTCTCTGTTATCTGCACCAGGGTAAGAGCCAGGAGCTCCAGGCTTCACTGGATGAACCCCACCACCGTCACCCTCACCAGGGTGGGGGTTTTGGTGGCTCCTTGTTTGGAGCAAAGCCCCCAGGGAGAAGAAAAAAGGCAGGAAAATACCCTCACAGCCCAGTGGGGCTGACACTGAGCAGGAGCCAGCCCTTCCTTCCCGCCCGGCTCCTCTTCAGCTGCGCCGGCTGATATGGTTTATCTGAGCAGCGCTGAATGTAAACGCTGTCAGCGCCGGCCGGGATTAATTCCCGGCAGTTTGGCAGCCGAGATGAAATAACAGCGCTGCGGGGGGGGAGAAAGGGGGGAAGTGCACATCTCAGACTGAAAAATCCTCCCGGTTAATTTACAGCCGGGTTTCTCTTCTCCCAGGCACTCTTGAAAGAGAGCCGGGGGCAGACGGAGGATGGGGAGAGGTCCAGCAGCAGGAGGAGGGCTGCTGTAGCAAAAGGCTGGGATCCCAGGGAGAGGGGAGGGTTGTGAAACCACACTTTCCCCATGCTCATGAGCTGATCCCATGGTGCCAGGGGCACGGCTGGGGTGGGCTCATGGCCCCCATCCCATCCCATCCCATCCCATCCCATCCCATC